AGATTTCAAAGATTTCCAAAGACACACTGTCATCAAAGACGACACCTGTCCTTTGTGTCCTTTGTGTCCTCCACCCCTGCTGATGCTTGCAGAGGAAGCTCTCCTCAGACGGAGCACTTTAATGTGCCGCATGTGTCGTTTGGCTCTCAGATTTCATTGGATGCTGTTGTGTGATGAAATGAGATGTAATTAAGTTAAGAGAAATGTAACAGTTTGTTCATGTTCAATGTGTTTATGCTCCGATACTGAACAATGAGACGAGGTGTTGCTGCTGTTTAAAGGGAAACACCACCTAAAGTAAGAACTCCAGTATGTTATTTCCATGTTGTTTTTTTTGTAATTAAAATTTGTCTTGAATTTGTAACATGAAAAATCATGATTTTTTTTTTTAACCTTTATTTAACCAGGTTTGTCCCATTGAGATCAAAGATCTCTTTTACAAGAGAGACCTGGCCAAGAATGGCAGCACATACAGTTTCAACACATTGTCACATTAAACATAGACATAAAAGATGCAAATAACAAACAATTGAATTTACACAATCAGGTCGAGATCAAACGAAACATTTGCACTCATAACTCCTGGATACAATGGGATTTATCATGGACTTAAATACATTCAGAGATACTAGGCTTTGGAGTTGAGCTCAGACTGCAAATTGTTCCATGAAGTTGGAGCAGAAAACGTTTTCAGAACATTTCTGTTCTGACCTTAGGAACAGTAAAATGTGAAAAGTCCTGAGAACGGAGACTGTGGCCTCTATTATTAGCCTTGTAAATCAAGACATACCAATGGCTGAGCCGGCTCTCATATAAAGATGGCCAAATTTACTTCAGTGTATAAGACACAATGATGAGTTAGAGCACCACAGTTTGTGATAAACCTCAGAGCGCCATGATACACACTATCCAGCACGTGGAGGCAGTGAGCGGAGGCATTCATATATAACACATCACCATAATCAATAATCTGAAGAAAGGTCGACTCCACCAGTTTCAGTTTTACCCCAAAAGAAAAGCAAGACTTATTTTGGAAATAAAATCCAAGTAAAAGCTTCAGCTTCGTAGCAGTATACAGAATATGTGCCTTAAAAGACAAGTGGTCATCAATCAAGAACCCCAGATATTTAAAAGAAGATACAAGTCCAATTTGTTGACCATTACTGGTGACAATGACAGACCGATTTGAACTTGCTGATTTTGAGTTAGTGAAAAACATAAGTTTTGTTTTATCAGCATTTAGAACAAGTTGCAGCTGGCAGAGCTGTTCTTGCACTCTATTAAACGCTTTCTGCAGATATGCAAACAATTCTGTAGGCGTGGGTGCAAAGCAATATATGACTCTGTCATCAGCATAAAAATGAAAGGCTGCATTTGGAATATTCACCCCAATATTATTTATATACAAGGTAAATAACAAAGGGCCAAGTACTGAACCTTGTGGCACCCCCTTGTGGAATAAAAGAACCTCAGATGAAACACCTTCTAACTGGACAGCCTGGGTTCTGTCTTTAAGATAGTTTGCAATCCATCCAACTGCATGTACAGAAAACCCAACTGCTGTAAGACGTTCAGTCAAAATGTCATGGTCCACAGTATCAAAGGCCTTAGAAAAGTCTATAAAGAGAGAAAGACAGCACTGTTTGTTATCTAGGGCTTCTGTTATATCATTTATAACCTTCAAGGCTGCAGTAGTAGTACTATGTTTCTTTGCGAAATCACTTCCAAGTGTACTGTACCCCAGATTGTTCCCTCCAGACAAATATCAGCTCAAATTGTCCCATTGTTCATTAACCATATCGTTTTTCCAATTTAATCTTCCCAGCATTCTTTCATGCAGTCGTTTCTATCGTCTGAACAATCCACATATTCAGTGAAGGAGTTTGAGGCTCCTTCAACACCTGAATCATCCCAGCTCAGGTTATAAATCCAGTTTTCAATATAATAAATACAAATTTATTTAATTCGGCACAATAGTTTTGTCTCCAAGGAGACATAGTCTTGACAAACTGTGCAGTTCACATGCTAACTATTTACCAATATAATCCAGAACGTTCCTCCACAGAGGAGAAACTCCAGGACATTCCCATAATGCATGTGAATATGTGCCACGATCTGTTCTGCGTTTCCAACATAGATTGTCTTTCAGTAGGTCCCTTCTGCTGAGCCTCATGTGTTCCATGGTTTAACCCACCACATGCATTTTTGAAGGAGTTTGTCACATGTCCACTCAGGCTTCACCTGAAGAAATATAAACCAATAAAAAAACTGATGTTATGAAAATATATTTAAATGCTGTTAAACTAATGTGTTCACATATCTCACTATATAATGAGGAAAACTCTGTGTGTGAAATTTGGCACAGTGGTAGAGGGTCATGGGAGGATGCCAATGAAGCAATATAACATCAATTGGCCAAAGGGGGGCGCTATAGCAACCCATTGAAATGTCAACCTTTGAATGGGCATATCTCATGCCCCGTATGTGGTAGAGACATGAAACTTTGCACAGAGATGCCTCTCCTCATGAGGAACACATTTGCCTCAAGAACCCATAACTTACGCTTATATAGATTTTCCATTTCCATTTTGAATTTATTGAAAAACACTTCAAATGGATCTCTTCCTAGGAAGTTTGAGCGATCTGCATGAAACTGGGTGAACATAATCTAGGGACCAATATCTAAAGTTCCCTCTTGGCAAAAGTTGGAAAACTTACTAAAACTGAGCTTCTATAAGGCAATGAATATTGCGGAGGGCGTGGCTCATCACATAAAGGTGTATAACATCTCAAGGGTTTCACCCATCACCACGCAACTTTGTAGGCATATGACCACACATAATCTGAGGGGACCCCTCCATTATTGACCCCATCAAACAAAATGGGGGCGCTAGAGAGCTCATTTCTTATCTAGGCCTAACCGCCATATGGATTTTTACTAAACTTGGTAGATATGTAGAACAGGACGCCTCAAGGTGACTGGAGAAATTTAACTCTAATTGGCAACTGGGTGGCGCTATAACAACAGAAAAATAGCTAAAATGCGACAGATCGCTGTGGCTGCAATCGTACTGTCAAATTCACAAACACTCTGTCTGAATACATTGCTCTTCTTCATGGGTTCAGTTGACTATTTGATCTGCAGTTTCCTATGACCTGTATCCCAAACACACACCATGTGAAACTGCACGTGGGCAACTGTGCACTCAATGAGTATGGACTAGTTTGGATATATTCTAATACTGTTTAATGCAGAAGTGTTGAACCTTTGCTCCTGACTCCTCATCCAAGCTGTGGTGGATGCGTACATCCACATGTGACATCCATCTAATTAATAAAGTACAGATGTAATTTATCTGTGGTTTGCAGAAACTTACAGTCAGTGTTGGAGAGTAACTACTTACACGTTATTAAATTACAAAATAAATTGTAGTCAGTTACAGTTACTGATCAAAATGTAGGTGATTACAAAGGGGTTAAAACCAAATATGTTCTTTTCAATAAATGGTTCAGAATGTGGCTTCATTTTGTGTCTTTGCATCTTTTTGCTGCGTGGAAATGTCTTGTTGTTTTGTCAGAGACTACTTTCAGACATTTTACAGCTTTAATGTCCAGTTTAAAACATCTGTTAGAGAAGTAATCAAATGTAATAAGTTACATTACTCTGATGAAGTACTTACATTTCATAAATAACCCTCCTGACACACAGCACCAACATTTGTCATGGTGATGGGTTGAATATTTGATCAGGTTTGAAGCAGCTGAATCCAAATGTAAAGTTCTCCAGCGTCTCTGTAAACACTTCAAATCTGCAAAAAGACTGAATTAAAGTTTCCCACCTGCTGCTGTTTGATTCTCAGCATCATACCTACTGCTCCACATAACGAGCGGCGGCCACGGGGGGTTCAGCCTGTACGCAGGAAGTACTCCGATCCTTCAGTTAGAGAGTACCAGGAGTACTCCTCTCACAGGAAACAGCCTCTGTGACTGATACATGATCCTGTCTGACATTATCTGAGTCTTTACACTGATGCATCAGTGTGTGAGTGAGGTGTTACTGTTAATGCTGCTGTCAGTTTAGTCCTGTGAGTCCCAACCTAGGGGTCATGGCCCTCTAAAGGGTCACTAGATAAATCTGAGGGGTCATCAGATGATTAATGGGAGAGAAGATGAAATCATTTGTTTCATCAGAGAAGGTTAAAGAGTAAAAAACTCCTGGGTCAGAACTGCTGCAAACACAGACATGTGAAACTCAACAGGGATCAGCCAGGGTCACAGCCCAGAATCCTGCCGACCAGGTGTTTAATCATTAACACCACACTGGCTTATCATATTCTTTCTTTAATGTAATAAAAGTCTTAAGTGTAACTATATGTGTTGGAAAAACACAGAGGAGCAGAGAGTACAACATTTCCCTCTGAAGTGTAGTGGACTCAGACCAGGCAGATGTTTCTGTACAACACATTTCAGACCCAAAGGTGACCCAGAGTGCTCCACAGATGTCACAGGTAAAAGGTAGAAGCACAGGAAACAAGTGATGACAACTATAAGAGCAACAAAGCAGAAGCACACTGAGTGAAACTATAAAAACAATAGAACAAATAAACTATAAGTGCACTCAGTAGAGAGCAGATCTCTGCCGGGCAGCCGAGTGGATTCGACTAGTTGTGACGGAGCCGCGGCACGTTTGTTCATAGCTGTTCAAGTTTCCCTACTTCCATACTTGAGTAAATATATTTAGTTACTTTCCACCACTGGACATGAGTACAGAGGGGTCAGGTGTGTTGTTTATAAATGATGAAGCAGCACACTGTCAGCTGATGAGGTTTCTTTATGCCTCTGCATTGGTGATAGCCCATGGAGGCATTATGGAAACAACGTGCAAACAAACTGCATTTTTTTATTTTGCAGGTTTGTACTCTCCTTGTATCTTTTCTGACTCATGTACGACACCGCAGACTTTTAAAGGTGAACTCACTGTCTCTCTCTGCTCTCCTCAGGGTCGGAGGGAAGAGGACAATGGGGGCCGGTGGGGTCTCCCCCCGAGCCCTGCTGTGGCTCCACCTGCTCGGCTTGATCTCTGTGGCGTCGCCCCTCAACCCGGATGACCCCAACGTGTGCAGCCACTGGGAGAGGTCAGTTCAGTCCCAGTTCAATATTCAAAGTGAAATAACACGGCTCAAAACGCTGCAGTGAAGTAATGGACTCCCCGCCACAAATCACCTCTGAGGGTTAGCCAATAATCAAAAGCAAAAGGTTTCCTCCTGGGGACACGCAGAGGCCGTAAATCCACAGCGATGGTAATGTGACTGCTTGAGTGGTCTCGCCACTCAGAGCGACACTGAGTAAAAGCACAATGTCCTCTCTGATGAGAGCAACGCAGAGTGCATGTGCTGTGATCGATAATCTCTCAGTGTAATCAGAGGGAACGGGGGAAATGGATATTACCCCTGATGACTGTTAGAGTTTCACTTTTTATACTAAAGGTTAGGCTCAGTTCAGTCACCTTTACTCAGCACGCACTGCGTCAGACGTGTCGTTACAGCACAACAGAACATTACAGAAAGCAGACGTGAAGTTTTGTCAGGATTCTTGAAAATCCTGAAAGTTTGTGGTTTTTAAGGAAATAAAGTGTTTAAAGTGCTCCGAGAGAATCGATGACCTTTTCAACATTATTTCAGATTTTAAAATTGCACAAGGACACACTGCTCTCATCCTGAGATCAATACTGCTGATTTATTTTAAGAAGAAACATTATTGAGCGTCACGAGAAAAAAACTTCCCTCAGTGATTTTCAGCTTTTAGCTTCCACCACGGTGCCATTTAGAGTTTTCACGTTTCAGCGAAGCCTCGAGGGTAATGAGAATAATATCCTTGAATTTAATGTGCGGCAGGCTGCCTGTTAATTTATTAATGACAAATATTTATTCAAGATTAGAAATGAATTGTGCAGGTGTTATCATCAAGTGTTTGGAGGCCTCCTGTTAATCTGTGTTGTGTTCTCTGTCCCCTCAGCTACGCTGTGACGGTGCAGGAGTCCTACGCTCATCCGTTTGACCAGGTTTACTACACCCGCTGCACCGACATCCTTAACTGGTTCAAATGCACCAGACACAGGTACGGACACAAGCTGTCGACTGTAGTGCTGCAGCTAATGATTTTTTTCAACATCATTTAATCTGTGTTTCATTAACAAATTAATAACTCTGGCTATAAAGTGTCAGATAATGTGGAAAAGTGCCGTCACAGTTTGTCAGAGCTCAAAGTAAAAACTTCAGATCGCTCAGGTTAATCTGATCAACAGCCCGAATTTCAAATATTCAATTTACTGTGATGTAAAACAGAAAAGTAGCAGATCAATTTCAGCTTGATAAATCAAAAATGATTGTTGACAGGAAGCAGTTTTCTGCTGCTGCCTGAGGTCTCTCAGTCAAAACACGTAAGAAAGACGAAGCAAAGCCGTCACTGCAGTCAGTGTCTCCTGGTGAGAATTCCCTCAGGGTTAATTGCTCCAGAGATTTTCACTGGGAGCTGAATTATCCACAGAGGTCTCTACCGCTCCAAAACAAATAGCCTGAGGCCTGAAAGAGGCGCACGCCACTTCCCACGCAGAGGTTGTGATCTATAAAAACAAAAGAAGAATGTGCGCACATGTAGGAAAACTCTGATCCGTGCGTACGAACATTTTCGAGACGGGAAATTGGTGACGCAGATGATGAGAAATTGATTGTAGAAATATCACACCTTACTTAAAGATCCACCTCTTCATAAACATTTAACCTAATGGTGTTATTACAGTAGTTCTGATGCTAGTGAGCCATAACTTTTCCATAAACACCTTTCAGTTGTAACAAATATAAGCCAACTCAACACATCGACTTCTGCTCAGTATTTCATCAGCGCTGTCTCACCATCACATCCCCACATAAATAAACTGTGCTCACAGATCAAACCTCCATCATCAGATGGTGTCCCAGGGTGGAGAGTGGTGTGAATCATTCTGATGGTGTAAACATTGAAACACTGTCCCGTTGATCAGCAGCTCATATCTTTGCATCAGCATTCAGGAGGAGCTTTGCACTGACCATTTAAGGTAGAACATGGGCGTGTAGAGGGCGGAGTGTGAGGCGGATCCACATGTGGATCAAGTTGATATATGAAAGGGAACTGCGTACTGTGGTTTTATAAATCAGAATATGTTTTTGCCGTGTGCCGTTTGGGCTTTTGTCTGCATGTGTGCATTTTAGTATGGATCCTATCAATGAGACCTTCTGGTGATTAAAACCAGTAAAAACACAGATTAAAGCAGGGTCACCTAAAAAAAAATCAGTGTTAGTCCAACAGTGTTGAGCTCGTCATGGAGGGGCTGCTGCACCAGCTCCTGCTGACAGTGAAAACAGTGAGGTCCAGAAGCTCCTTACGCTCCGAGCAGAGGACGAGATCAGCCACCATATAACAGAGACGCGACATGATTGTTATTGACATGTGATGCCATTGATATTGTTTCTAAAGAGCTGCTGACACGTATGCTATATGTCACAATGGAGGTCGACGCTGTTGTCTTACATATCACACTCCTCACGCCTCTTTTGCTTCTGTGAAGCCGACATGCGGCCTGACATCACACACTGGAGCGACATGATGTTAGTTTTAGTTAGTTTTCAGCCACCTAAAATGATCAGTATCGGGTTAAGTGTGCACTTTATTTAGAATATTTTCACTCCTCTGCTTTGCTAATGTGGAACTGAAGCCTTATGTCAAAGGCTCCAGACTCCACTGACATACACAGTCATTTTACCTCACAAAACACAGAAGTTGCTGGTCTACTGCTGCCAGGGTTAGTAAGTGTGAAAGGTAAAGTGAAGATAACGTTTTGAATATAGCCTACACTTACACTGATATTAGCATTTTTAGTTGGATAAGGTTTTTTTGCTACAGCCCCACCCACAGCAGGACGCTGTTGCGCTTCTGTGCTGGTAGATCTGGTTTATGAAAGATGACAGCGCAGCAACACAGGACATGAAATAAACTGTTAGATCAGTCGGACCACCGTGTTTAACTGTAGATCTTTAAATGTTACAGTTAGGGCTGAAAATGACGACAGAAATCAACAAGTTTCTTATTTCACGTATGTATGCAATTCAAATCAGCTGCTGGCTGTCTGCCCAGAAGTGATTGTTGTTGTTCATCATCACAGTGACTATGAGGTCATTAAAACAGGTGGATATAGGCCAAAAACTGCAGAAATCATCAAACATGCTGAACATGCGTCACAGTCAGAGACAGAGAGGCAGTTCGTGTGCTCACGTTTGGTTTCTGTCTTCACCTCAGAGACATCTTACTTGCACCATGTCTAACGCAGTACATCTTGTACTGTATGTACTCGTGTTGCAGTCTGTCATGAGTGTCTACTACCCAACTCCGGCAGTTGAGCTCCGCCTGATGTGGTCATTTTCATGAGCGACCGTCGGAGTATCGGCTTTAATGACCACATTAAGCTTTATAGCCACCAGTTTAGCTCCCCCAGCTAAGAGCTGAGTCATTGATCTGAAGCTGAAATGTCAGACAACATCAGCGTCCTTGAATGAGTCGCCGAAACTCCCTTAAACGCTTAAGTGTCGCTCGTCTATCAGGAGTGTCGTGACGTGAACACATTTTTACTACAGCGCTCTCACAGAGCTGCGCCATAAGATGTGACGTGTTGGTTTAAAATTCAAATGTAGTCGTGCTGTTTTAATGGAAAGAAATCACAGAGATACATCAACTTTATGTGTGTGTGTGTGTGTGTGTGTGTGTGTGTGTGTCACAGGATCAGCTACAAGACGGCATACAGGAGAGGAGTGAGGACCATGTACAGGCGACGCTCTCAGTGCTGCCCGGGCTTCTATGAAAGTGGAAACCTGTGTGTTCGTAAGTCTTGTTGATTCTCTCCTTCTGATCTTCTGACAGCTCCATATTACAAAACACCAGCACTCTGAAAAATGTCCCATTGGACCAAAAACCCACTGGGCTGTTGGACCGATGGGTCCCAAATACAAATACAAACATGCACTGCTCCAAAGGCCCTTTTCTGTCTCCACAGTGTAAAGTTGTGGATGGTCCCAACAGAAGCGTTCCTTAGCGTCCCCATGTTTGGTCCCCCCTCTGTTGGGGTACCTAGCACACAGATCTGGTACTAAAAGGTGGAGCTAGAAACCCTGCAGTCTGATTGGTCAGTAGAGGACGCTCACTCTGGTTTTATGTAACCTCTGTTCATACATCAGTAAACTACAACTATAAAATGAAAGAGAAAAAAATAACTTCATTCACTGGGCCGACTGCCGGCAACTTTTAAGGTGGAACGTTAACTTGTAATGTTACTCAATGCATGAGTTGATGACGTGAATCCATCAGCACACCTTAAATTTCACTGTGACAACTTTGAACATCACTTTAGTTTTTATATGACACACACTTTTAGTAATGACTTTAAAAATATAGATTAATTTGGAGCGGATTATGTGAAGGTCATATATTCTAATCCTCACTTCCTGTGGGCTACAGCAACACTAAACCCCTGAGCTTGACTGAGAAGGACTAAATGCACAAAGCTGCTATTTTTAAATATCCCATGGAGAGAGACTCTCACTGCAGCCTGTTCTATTTTGTTGTGAAAATGTGGGCGTGCAGCCTCGTTCTGTGGACGATAAACCAGGTGCAGACTTCCATCTGTGTCACAGCTGATGAGGAAATACAGCGAGTGCTGGACGGAGCAGTGAGTGACAACAACCCCGCCCACATTTAAGAGGACAGTCTGAACACACCGAGGGTCTAGGTACCATGTCTGAAGGCTTACTGCTGGTTCCAAAGGTGCTGGACTGAAAGGGTTTGGTGGAGACGGGGCTGTAGAGCTGTTCACTTGTGATCAGATCACCCAGGACACATATTCATACCAGGTGCATTCTCGGAACCCATCGGCTGTATTCGCCGTCTGACTTCCAGCAGACGGCGATACAGCCTCTGGGGGCAGACCCCTGATTTTTTGGCATTCCGGTTTGATTTGGGCGGAGGAGGCGAATTTATGTTTCCGACTTCCGTTTATATATAAGTAAATATGCTGAACCATTGCGATGGATTCAGAGTTTGCAGTGACACCAATTATGTTCCGCCTCGTTAGTTCACCGCACGGACCGTTTAACCTGGCAACAACTGCAGCCAGCTCAAACGTGATTGGTCAATATTACGCGGCCTACAAACAGCCTACAACTGGAAACCAGGGCTCTTCCGCTCTTCTTCCGGAGGCAAGATCTCCGGGGTTTGCCTACAGACTCTACCTTCACTAAATGTAGAGTCTGTATATAGAGACTATACCAGGTGTAAACGGGGCCCCTGACACATTATCCGTTCTTCACCTCCTGCCATTGCGGCGCCTGTGGAGAGCGTGCAGCATGAGGGACACCTCTCATCCCGGCCACAAACTGTGGACCCGCAGCTTTACTGGCCCTCCTGGTGCCATCAGTTGCAAACCTAACTGCAGCTTCTCATCTTCCAGACATCTGTCCAGACAAAGTAATAATCCAAATTTAATCAGCAGCGTATAACAAAAGTATCTCATGACGGTTTTATTTTATATAAAGGTCTTGTTAAATCTCTGCTGCTGGAAGGCACAGAGCTTTTCACAGGACTGTGTAACAAAGATCTGAGCTGTAAGTGTCTGATATAACAGCCATATAAAGAGCAGATAAATGACTGACTGAGCAACAATTTAGCTTCATTCAGAAGAAGTTAACACTCATTGGTCCTTTGTTGTGTGTGTGTGTGAAGTGAGGGCGCTCTTATAAAGCTGCAGATGCACATTGTGTTTGATCAAATGGCAATAAAAACATATCCAACATTGTTGTTTCCTATCAGACGGCGTACAGCTGGATCTGAAATCTTCCCACCACAGGGGAACGTGTGCTCTGCATAACGTCTGTGCAGCAAACAAAATCATTTTCCTGTCATCTGCATTGTTATTTTCAAACTTTTTCCACTTGATACACACAAAGTTTCCAGGCTTGTTAAAATTGCAGTGTGTCTTGCGGAACAGTGATTCAATCTCAGTCGTTATCTTTTCACTCGCGGCCGGGCAGTTATCTATATCTGCTGTTAGAGCCGTCAGAGTTAGATCAATCCGCCTCTGTTCCAAAGTGGATCCATTTCAACTCAGAGTTTCACCACAGAGAGCTTTGAAATCAACGTAAACAGAGAAGAAGGGAAACAAAAGCTGTGAGCGCAGAACGTCTGCTAATATGAAGTTAAATGTTGTCAGATATCTCTTAAAACTCAAAGATCTGAGCTTCATTCTGCAGATCTGCTGTTTGTCTTCTTGGGTCATCGAGGGCTTTAACGGGCAGATCAGCTGATGGCTCTGTCTTCCTCTGCTGCTTCTTATTCTACGACTAAGAGAGTGTTTGTATTTGTGGAAACGAATATCTTTGTGCTGTTTGTCACATTCACATTATAAACAGATGAGCTTTATTCCCCGGAGTGCAGGACGGATCTGTTGTTGAAGAAGTTGGTCAGAGATAATATATTTCTCTACACCGATATTTGAGTTTGAAGCTGGTTTTAAATTTTTGCAGCCAAAGAAAAACAAACTCTTCAACATCAGACAATTACAGCGAGCAGATGAGACGACAGATGTTCAGTGGAAGACGATCCAACACATACATGAGCTTCTTTACTTAACTGTAAAGCCAGCGTTCAGCTGCTGGTCTTAATTGTTAGAGACACACACAAACACACCGTGCGTCTCGTCCTCTCACATATCTGTTCGTCTTGTCACATCTGATGCAGCTCAAACAGTCCTGAACACACCAACTGTCCTCGGAATATTAAAACTGAGAACCGCTGAATCTTTGTCTGATTCTTCAGGAAAGTTGCAAAGTCACAGAGAAGAGGTTTTTATGTTATCGGGAGCTGGAGGAGATGGCGGATTGCTTGACGCCTGCGAAGATGCAGATCACTAATCGAAACCAGTGAACACAGTACGCTATGATTCCTGCCAGCATAGTGCCACAAAAAGCAGCTGTTTTTTTTATCGAGTCAGTGCCGAGTCTGCTGGTGGGACAGTGCTATGAAAAGTGTTGGTTTTTTTTGTTTTTTATGGAGACACCGGTGCGTTTCCTGCCGAGACAATGGGTGCAGTTACATGATGGCTTCTCATTCAGAATGAAATAAATCTGAATGAAATCATTCGGTTTACATGGGAGATCAGTTTAATCGCCTTTATTCAGGTCTGCGCAAGGTTTGGGGCAGGGAAGGTTTCTGATTGGATAGGGGGCGGGGCGGATGTTATGTGTTTACGTTTACCGGAAGAAAACACTGTAGTCCTCGCTCCAGATAACAAGATGCTTGACGACGCCGTTCTTAGTGCCTTTTTCAGGCTTGTTTTGCTTATATTCTTGAAGCAGCAGTACGACAACAACCTTGTTCTGCTAATGCTTCATCTGTTGAGGAGGAGAAGGGAGGTAGAAGGTCGAAGAAGGGAGATAGAAGACCGTGCTGTGGAGAATGGAAACCGGTGAGTGCAACGAGTCCGACTGCTCTATCTCAGCCC